CGTTTTCACAGACTTAATCTCCATCATCTCATATCCACCTACGACTGATCAATTATCTGCCCTCAAGAAACCTTCCTAACACATCCTCCAATACTGATTACAAATAATCATTTTGTATCACCCCCCCCATTCTCTCTCTCTATTTTCAATACTCATTTATCAAAAAATTACATACACTAGAACTTCTTTCTAAGCCGCTATCCCTTGCATCATTATTTGCATCATTTTCATGCCTTGACCTATCTCTATGTTCCCCTTCTCTCTATTTATCATTGTACAGGTCTAGGCCACTGTCCCTATCGCGACCACTTTAGGTTCCTCCTTTCTCCTACTTCATATGTCCCACTTCCTAATCCCGATAGAGCTGACTGACAAACTTTTACTTCACTAGTTACTATACCTTACTCGCCATCCCCCTTCTTCTCCATTTCAGATAAATTACAAGTTTTCTCAACAACAGTCTTAAGATCTGCCTACACAGCCATTCCCCAAACCTCTAGACCTTATACGTCTGTGTTCCATGGTGGAACTCAGACTGTACTAAAGTACTTTGTCTAAATGTAACACGCAGCTTGTAATAGCTATCACTATAAATGAGACACTCCTAACCATCTATCCACCCTGTATCCTTTAAAATAGTGTCTGTCCACCTTCGACGCACAATTTGAAACAAAACAACTATCACTAAAGAATGCACCCGTCACATTTTCCCTCTCTTCTGATGAGCCATACAATACTCCCTTTTCTTCCTCAGAACTACACACTGCCTTACAGTATTCACTACCATATGCTCTGACACCTCCCATTGTCCTATTTGTCCTTCCTCCTAAATATCTACAATCAAATTTGGACGACAGGAAATTTTCCCCCTCACTAGCGCGAAGCCCTCGTTCTCCCAATCTTAGAACCCAATAAATCGGGTATCCTCCCACAAGATTACCGCCTCATCGCTCTAAGTAGCTGCTTGTGCAAGCTACCAGAGCAAATGGTAAACTCTCGGCTAATGTGGTATCTTGAATCTTACAATCTTCTTTCTCCTTCCCAGCTTGGATCCCGCCATGCCCGAAGCACAGCAGACCCACTTGCTCTTTTCGAGACACTTATAACATCCGCATTTGCACGCCATGACTCCATATTAGCCATATTCTCTGACCAAGAGAAAGCATGTAATACCACATAGCGGTATCATATCCTCCAACAACTGACCTCTCTTGGCATACGTGGAAACATGGATGTCTTTATAAAGTCCTTCCTCTCCAAACATACTTTTCAAGTTAAAATTGCTTCTTCAGATCAAAGACGTCCCACAAGGCAGTGTACTTATCACTTCCTTATTCCTTACGTCTGTGAATGATATTGTATCAGTTCTACCAACAGGGACCTGGTCATCACTATATGTTGAAGACTTAGCCATCTATGCCTCCGGTCCATCTATACATACTCTCCAACAATTTCAACCATTCAGTCAGCAATATCGTCAGTATCTTCCTGGGCCACTAATCATGATTTTCGCTTCTCCACTACCAAATCCTTTTCTATTCTATTCTCACGCAAACGTGTAAAACCCCAACCTCCATTCCTATAATACGGCACTCCGCTCCAATACCGTTCTTTTGGAAAGTCCCTTTTTCGACTCCAAACTCCGAAACTTACAAACTCTGTCCCACATATCTCCAGTTGAGAGCCTCTATGTTGAGTCAGCATTCATCGCCATGCCCCCTGTCTCTACGATGCTATACGCCCTTCCGCCAACACTCCTTCATCAAATTAACTATTCCTCAAATTCTACTTCCTACCTTTGCTTCATCTCCACGTTTACCAACTCCTTTCATCACCCACATGATTACTCTCCTTTCCCATTCCCCCTTTCCAATGCTCCAACCTCTCCCCTTCTCTGTCCATTCCGTTCCTCCATGGCTTATACCTTACCCCCACATTTGCTCCTCTGTGTTTCCTTACCCACCAGATATACCTCCTTTTGTCCTCCTCGCCCACTTCCTTAACCATATCTCTACTCTTTCCTCTAGTATCCATGTTTACACTGATGGCTCCAAATCCATCTCTGGTGCTGGTTTCACAGTTATCTTCCCTGCACATTCCAATACCTCTTCCCTCCTGAGTCATATACTCTCTCTCTTCCTCAGGACTGGCTGCTCTACTTGTCTACACGCTGTAAATCTGTCAGGTATTGCCATGTTGGAATCCCAGGCAATGAACAAGCAGATACCCTAGCACTCTCAGTCACATGACCACATTACACATCCCAGTCTCTCACGCATTCCATCTCTCGATGGCAAATCGTCACTAAAAATTACGTGCAGTAAACCCATCAATCTCCTCCTGGTCAACTTCTTTTCATAGAAACATACGCTGGGAAACGGCTGTTGCCCACGCGTATCGGTCATGCTCACTTTACGAACTCTATGTCACGATCTAACCCGCCCCTATGTTCCTTATGTAATGTTCCCATTTCAGTCTCACACTTCCTGTTGTCCTGACC